AGGCATGGGCTCTGCTTAGGCCCAACCTTTTAACAGTTCTATTATCTTCAGGGACCACCCTTTTACCACATGGGTCCTTGGGGAACTCACTATCCACGCTGTAGCACACATTCCTAAAGAACCCAATTTGTGCATTTCAGTGCAGGTATGTCTCTGTCCATGGGGTCATGTAGAGGCCAGAGGACAATCTTGGGTGTCATTTCTCAGGATGTGTCCACTTTAAAAATTAAAAACATATATATTATCGAGAGGCTAGAGAGATGGCTAAGGGATTAAGAACCTCTTGCAGAGGATCCAGGGTTTGGTTCCTAGCACCCACGTAGTAGCTCACAACTCTGTATAACTCCAGTTCCAGGGAACCTGATGCCCTCTTCTGGCCTCCATAGGTACTGCATGCACGTATGTAGTGCACAGACATGCATGCAGGCAAAATACTCACACACATTAACATTTAAAGATCATTATTTGTATGCATGCACGGTGTGTATATGCCACAGCATGCATATGGAGGTCAGGAGACAGTTTTGTGGAGCTGGTTCTCTCCTTGCACCTTTATGTGGCTTCTGAGGATTAAACTGGAGTTGCCAAGCTTGTATGGCAAATGTCTTTTCCTACTAAGACATCTTGTTACTTCTCCCTATTAATTAATTAATTAATTAATTATTTACAGCTTCTCACTGACATGGAACAGACTATGCAGACAAGGATAGCTGGCTGGCCAGTGAGTCCCAGGGATCTATTTGTCTCCATCTTGCCAATGTTGGATTATAAGCATGTGCCACCACACCTTGCTTCTCTTCACATGGGTTTTGGGGGTTGACCTTAGGTTCTGATGCTTGGAGGACAAACTAATTTTACCAATTGGGACTATTTATTTATTGGCTTTTAGAGACAGGGTTTCTTTGTGTAGCCCTGGCTGTACTGTAACTCACCAGGCTGGCTTGAACTAACAGTGATTCACCTGCCTCTGTCTTTCATGTTCTGGGATTAAAGCTGTGTGCCCCTACTACCTGGCTCCTATTTACTTTTTGAGACTTAAAGTCTCACTATGCATCTCTGGCTGGCCTGGAACTTGCTATGCAGACAAGGCTGGCCTCAAATTCAGAGATCTACTTGCCACTTCCTGATGGGGTTGTCCTTCTGTATATATGTTTCTCTTATTAGCTAATGAATAAAACACTGTTCAGCCAATGAGGCAAGAAGATAGGCGGGACTACCTTCTGGGAAAGGTAGGCAGAGCAGGGCCGGAAACAGTCACTATGTGAGTTGCCAAAGGAGTTAGAGGTCTAGACCCTTCTCCGGTAACATAAGACCACATGGAAATACTTAGATTAATAGAAATGGGTTAATAATTAAGACAGAGCTAGCCAATAAGAAGCCCTAGTCATTGGTTAAGAGTTTTATAGCTAATATAGCATCTCTGTGTGTGTTTGGGGCTGAGGGTGGCTGAGGGACCAGGCTGGCAGGAAAGAACCTACAGCAACAACTTCCTCCTGAATTCTTGATAAAAAGATGGGCACCACCACACCAGCATGGACCCTATTTTTGAGACTGGGTCTCATGTAGCTCAGAATGGCCTTAAACTTCTGAGCCTCCAGCCTCTACTTCCCAAGTGCTAGAATTATAGGCATATGTCACTATGCTTTTGTGGTTTTATTTATTTAATTATTGTAACGTGTAGTCTTCCTTGCCAGCCGCCTGGGCCCTGCCAGTTGCAGTCCCCAAATAACACAGAGGACACTAGATTAATTATGAAGCTGTTGGCCGTTTGCTTGTTTCTTACTGGCTAGCTCTGACTTAAGTATTTAACCCATAATTGTTAATCTGAGTATTTCCATGTGATCTTCGCTTACTGGAGGAACGGTCCACATGATGCTTCTTCCGCATCCTACATTATGACTGACTTTGCCTCCCTTGCCCAGAAGCCTCCTCGACTCCTAGTCCCACCTATCTTGCTTCCCTATTGGCCAACAGTGCTTTATTCAACAACCAATAAGAAAGACAGATTTACAGAATGATATCTCCCATAAACTTATCACTATTTTTTTTTAATACAGGGTTTCTCTGTGTAGCTCTGGCTGTTCTGGAATGCACTGTGTAGACCAGGCTGGCCTGGAACTCAGAGATCTGCCTGCCTCTGTCTTTTAAGTGCGGAGACTAAAGTTGTGCACCACCCAGCTTAGCCATTTTATTTTTGAGACAAGATCCTTTGTAGCCCAGATTGCTCTCTAACTCTTGACTATCTTGTCTCAGCCTCCTGCGGGTTGAGATTAAAAGTGTGTTGCTACCACTGCCAGCCTATGCTAGATTTTAATGCAAGCAGACATTCTCAAGGTAAGGCCACATGAGACAATAAGAGATTATTTTTTGATTTTTATTTTATGTGTGTGTTTTGTATTTATATCTGTACACCATGTGCATGCAGTGCTCACGCTCACAGGGGCCAGAAGAGGGCAATGGACCCCCAGAACTGGAGTTACAGAAGGCTGTCAGCTGCCATTTGGGTACTGAAAATCAGAAGAGCAGTACATGCTCTTAACCACTGAGCCATCTCTCTAGCCCTTAGAGACATAATTCATAACTTCAGAAATAATTCTTTATTTTACAAAGCATTAAAAAGCCTCCAGGGCGTTGGTGGCGTGGGCCTTTAGTCCCTGCACTCACAAGACAGAGACAGGCAGATCTCTGTGAGTTCAAGGCCAGCCTGGTCTACAGAGTGCCAGGACAGGCCCCAAAGCAATACAGAGAAACCCTCTCTCAAAAAAAAACAAACAAACAAAAAACAAAAAAAAAAAAGAAAGAAAAAGCTTCCATATGTATATAAAAACTAATGCCTAATATGCAACCTTCTAAACAAGTCTTTGGGGAAGAGCACCTGTTTAACAAAATTTAACAGGCTCTTAGGAACAAATGCACAGTGTGTTTTTGGACTGGAATAACAATAGAGTTGACTGCAGGACTAAACTTTTTTCCTAAGAAAACTCCACCAAAAAATCCTTACAGGTTGGGCTGGAGAGATGGTTCAGTTATTAAGAGCACTGGCTGCTTTTACAGAGATCTTGAATTCAATTCCCAGTAACTACTGGTGGCTTACAACCATCTGTAATGAGATCTGGTGCCCTCTTCTGGCATGCAGGCATAACATGGTATATATAATAAATAAATAGTAAAAAAAAAAAAAAAAAAACACCAAAACCCAAACACCTTACATGTTACTTCTTCATCATACTACATTAATAGACAGCAGGAGAATCAAATTCTGCCCACTTTCCATTCCACAAATGTTTGAATGCTAACTATCTTCCATCACCCAGCTTCTTGGAAAGATGCTGTCAGGCATCTTCAGGGCTATTTATTTCCTAATTGTAATGCCAGGGCAACTAATAGCTACTTCTTGAGCACAGCCAGAGCAGGCAAGTTCTCAAAAGCAGTGCATATGGATTTGTTTTTCTTTCCCATTAACTCATCTGAACAAACTGGTAACCAGTAATAATGTAATAAGGATTAGTCAGAAAATTCCATAGTTATCTGACCTGGGGGTCTGGACCACCACTACACATCCTTGAGGAAAGGCAGCCGTCTCTCCCTTCTGTCTCACTGTGAAACCATAAGCAGCTATGTCTACAGCCTCAGCACTGGGGGAGCGGGCATTTGGGTATGCAACTGTGAGCCTCACACTCTATCAGTGAGCTACACCCCTATCTCCTTGTGGAATGTTTGGTGGACTCTTGATTCTTTTTGTACACATTTCTTTTAAACCTAGTACTTGGAAGGCTGCGGCAGGAGGATGATATGTTTACAGATAGATTGGCTTACAGAGTGAGGTCCTGTCTTCAAAGGAAAACCCCGAGTAGTCCACTTTCAGGTTTGCTAACAAGTAACTCGGAAAGGAGGCACACTGCTATAACATCATCCCTTCAAGTTTGACTTGTATTGGTGTCTGGACAGCGAGTCTGCCAAAAAGATTCAATGAAAGCCAGCAAATAAAAAAACAAAACAAAACAAACAAAAAATACAAAACTGTGGGCTGGAGAGATGGCCTAGTGGTTAACAGCACTGGCTGCTCTTCCAGAGGACCCAAGTTCAATTCCCAGCACTCACATGGCAGCTCACATCTGTTTGTAACTCTGACACTCTCACACAGACATACATGCAGGCAAGACACCAAAGGACAGAAAACAGAAAGAATTAGCCGGGCATTGGTGGCGCACGCCTTTAATCCCAGCACTCGGGAGGCAGAGGCAGGCAGATCTCTGTGAGTTCGAGGCCAGCCTGGTCTACAGAGCGAGTTCCAGGACAGCCCCCAAAACAATACAGAGAAACCTTGTCTCAAAAAACCAACCAACCAAACCAAACCAACCAAACAAACAAAACCCAGAAAGAATTAGAAAACTGGTAGGAAACAAATACAGAGTTGCCATCCCAGGATGGGATGTCCAACAGTAATCTAGCCCCATGTTTATTTCTCCACTCACAAATTATACACCACCAGTTTTATTGAAAAATTTAAGGAAGCATGATATTGTAAGTATAATTGTGTGTCTCTTGAGGTAGAGAATCACACCAACTTCTTGCTGTATATTGTTTTTCAATTATAATACAAGACTAAGAACTGAAGTTCCCACTGGAGTGGTACATAGCATCTAGTTTCTACCCGAAACTATAGGAATGCCTTAGGAAAATAGACTCTCACATTTAGCCAGATGAAACCAAGTCGAAACCCTAGGCTAGTCTCAGCTGCCTGCCGACCAGCGGCAACCTTTAAAGCACTCGGCTTCCACAGACACTGGTCTAAGTCTTTTCTGGGGATAGGGAGTTTCTATCAGAGGGCAGTTAGAGCTGGCGTTGGTGGCGCACGCCTTTAATGCCAGCACTCGGGAGGCAGAGGCAGGTGGATCTCTGTGAGTTCGAGGCCAGCCTGGTCTACAGAGCGAGTTCCAGGACAGCCTCCAAAACAATATAAAGAAACCCTGTCTTGAAAAACAAAACAAAACAAACAAAGGAACAAAAAAAAAAAAAAAAAAAAAAGAGGGCAGTTAGTCCCTGCAAGCAGCAGCCATCAGGACAGTGCCTCTCAACTGTTATGTTTCCCAAGTGCTTCCTGCCATCAAGACACAGCTTAGGACAGCTGGGTAGGTCCTGTCCTTTCTGATGACAACTCCAAACCAACATAGCCTCTTTTCTGCATCTGCCAGAGTTCCCTTCTTGTGGGCTGGAATGTACACACTACACCAAAGGTTGCACAGGGATGAATGACAAGTCCGATAAACAGGATTTCATCTCCTGGAGCTCCTGGACCTCATCGCTCTCAGGGCCACAGTGCACCAACAGGATCTTTTCTGCTTTCCGTATGGCATTCAGAGCTTCAGGCACTGCCAACCTGAACCAAGGGAGGAAAGCTGGTCAGTTCACTCACTCAGTCAAAACGAAAGCCGGCTTCTTTCTGGACAGAGGGCACAAAGGATCAAGTTCATTCCATCCTCCAGGGTCTATGGAGGGCACAAAGGGTTCACCATAACCTCTAGGACCTTACCATCTAAAGAGGTAGATAAGATAAGAAACTTTACAAGCACACTGCAAAGCAGAGTCTGAGGAAAGTGTGTGTGTGTGTGTGTGTGCGTGCGTGTGTGTGTGTGCGCGCATGCGTGTGCGTGAGACTCAAGGACCCTGAGAAAAGTGGGAAAATTTATGAAAGTTTTATACAGAGGTGTTCATTTTAGGGCACCTATGTCTCACCTGCCTGACTTTGTGTTTCCACGTTTGGATATTAGGTCCAAGCTTCAAACACTTTCCCTTAGCAATGCACACTAATGAGTTAGTTTTTTGGTTTTTTTTTTTTTTTTTTTTTGGTTTTTCGAGACAGGGTTTCTCTGTGGCTTTGGAGGCTGTCCTGGAACTTGCTCCGTAGACCAGGCTGGTCTTGAACTCACTGAGATCCGCCTGCCTCTGCCTCCCGAGTGCTGGCATTAAAGGTGTGCCCCACTGCCGCCCGGCACTAATGAGTTTTTAATACAGGCTGGAGGAATGGTATCCAACAGGAATACTATAATTGGGGACTATTTCATTTCAAGTGATCACAGTGGCAAAATTGGGTATAGAACCAGCCAGTTCATCAACTCTGCTCTTGTCTTTTTTTTCTTCTTCTGTGCAGTGCCAGGGATGGAACCCAGGGCCTTGTGCATGTAGGCAAGTGTGCTACAACTGAACCATCCCCTCAGCTTCCTATTTTACCTTTAAAGCAGCGAATCTTACCCGTGACGTAACTACTTGGTAACTCCGCAGTGGAGGCTGTTCTGTGCACTCGGGGTTAGCCTTTACCCACTAGATACTGGCAGTACCCTCCTTCAGACCATAAGAACCAAAACTGTCTCCAGACATTGGCCAATGCTATCTGAAGGCAGAATTCCTTCTGCTTGAAAACAACTGCTTTAAAAGGAATAGGACGCAAACTTGGGAAAAGGCAGAGGCCCTGGAGTTGGGAATGCTGGGAGTGAGCAAGCCAAGGGGTGATTAAGCCTAGAGGAATGCTAGAGGACGGGTGAGGCTGCCTGGAGCCCTCCCTGGGAAACTCAGTTGAGAACTGAGAGCTTTGGCCACATCTCTCGGGAGGAAATTCAAAGCTTAAAGCCTGTCAGTGAAGTAGAGGGCAAAGATCTGTCCTAAGGAGGAAACAGAAGAAAGGGTTTCAACGTCTGAAAATCACTGCAGCGAAGTCATCCACAGAAGCACCTAGCAAAAGGCAGAACAGGATGTGCCCAAGCCAAGCGCTAGGAAGAGGACCTACCCATTGAACAAGATTTGGGCTAGTTTGAAGAGTTCATGGCCAGTTTCAACACTGGATGGCCCATGGCGAGCTTCAACCACACGGACACTCTTCTGTACATGGGCAGCAGACGTTCGCCAGTCTCCTGTGAGAGAACAGTCTCATACAGAAGAGAGCCACCATCAGCCGAGGCTCTCAGGTACGGAAAGCGGAATGGAAGGGAGAGCCGCAACTGAGCGCAAGGCAGGGAGGAGGACTGCGGCTTACCTACGGCAGCATAGGCCTGGGCCAGGCTGTCTTCAATCTCCCCCACCACTGTGTGCTCTGCTGACAGGAAGCTCTCAGCAGCCTCCCGGCATCCCAATAACTGTTGAACGGCTTGCTCTATTGAGTCAAAGGAAAAATCTCACAACAGACAGAAACCTGGACATGAGTACCCAGTCAGGTTCTCTATCGGTTGGGCCAATTGGAAATGCCCTTTCCCTGAGTTAACAACCCAGCATTCCAGGAAAGGTGTAGTCTCTTATGCTTTCTCTTTCAGCAGGAAAAGGTGCTAGACGAGGCCTCCCCACATTTACCCAGGCTCCTTACGTCCATTTTCCTGTGTAACCACCTGTAATCGCTACTTCTCCTGGCTCTAGGCTAATGGTCAACTTCAGAATCTAGGCTAAACAGGTGAAACTCAGGGTCTAATAGCAAGTTTCACAAATCCCTTTCTGGAAAGAAAGGGCTCCCTCTCTCCCTGTCTCAGTGCTCACTCAGGCTAGCTATGTAAGCTCTCCCCTGAGCCACAGCGCCAGCCCAGAGCAGGATCCACTGCCACTGGGGGCAGAACAACCTTCCCAGGAGAGTCAGTCATCATGCTGGGAGTTAAGATAAATGACACGGGACTTCTGGACCCACACAAAGCTCATGGAAGTCAGAAAGTCTTTCCGGTGCTCGAGGTACTAGGACTAGCTGATGCAGTAGACACAGCTTAAACCATGTGGTAGTCTTTCAAGGACACTGACTACAGCTGGTTAGGGTTTGGTCTCACTGGCCTACATAGCCATCTTGTGGTTGGTGCTGGGATAATGAAATTCTAGTCCTCAATCATTTACTGAGGCCTATTCTTGAGTGGAAGGCGACAGCAGAATAAACAAAAGGAAAGGGGCTGGAAAACTGAGGCAGGAGCCAGTCTCACCTAGTTCACCATTTCTGAGAAGCTTCTGGGCCACGCAAACCTGCTGCTGAAGGTCCTGGAGGCGGGAAACCAGGTGGTCCCTGCTGACAGATTCTGTGCACGATTCGTTGTTGCAGCTCAGTACATCATTTCCCTGTGGAAGCCAGTTCTATCTTTATTCCTAAGCCAGAGCAGTTATCAGCATTGAGTGTTGCATGTATCTGAGCTACAGGGTGACTGACCTGATGGGGAAAAGGACTCCTCAATAACACACTGCAAACAAGGCCTGAGTGAAATTCTAGTGAAAGTAGTAGCTGATCCCACTCCAAGACTTAATTTTTGGACAGAAACAATATAGTTTGCAATCCTTTTTACCTCAGCAGCCCCTGATCTCTTTTTGCGAACAGGCCTTTTGAACATATATATACTGGTTATTTTTTAAAGCCATGAGAAAACCAATATAGAAATTTGGATGTGGCCACACATTACTGTAATAGTGGCACTTGGGAACTAGAAGATGATAAGTTTGAGGCCTGCCAGGGCTATGAAATGAGCTCCAGACGACCCTTGCAAGGGGAAAGGAAGATTGGAAGAAGAGAGGCGAAGAGAGGTATGGCTGAAAGGATAGAATCATCTTATTAAGAATCTATTGGAGGGGCTGGAGAAGTGGCTCAGCAGTTAAGAGCACGGGCTGCTCTCCCAGAGGACCTGGGATCAATTCCCAGCACTCACATGGCAGTTCACAACTCCCTGTAACTTTACTTCCAGGGGATCTGACATCTTCACAGAGACATACATGCAGGTAAAACACCAACACACATAAAATAAAAATAAATAATTAAGAAAGCCAGGTGTAGTTCTGCAAGCCTGTAAAAATCCCAGTACTCGGGAAGTTGGGGCAGGGGGCATCTCAAGTTTGAGGTCATCATGGACTAGGAAATGAATTCTAGGCTAGTTGGGTGTGGTGGTTTAAAAGAAAATGGTTCCCAAAGGGAGTGGCACTATTAGGAGGCATGGCCTTGTTGGAGGAAGTGTGTTACTGTGGGGGTGGGCTTTGAAGTCTCTTTTTTCAAGCTTCACTCAGTGTGACAGCCGACTTCCTGTTGCCTCTTAGCCAAGATGTAGGGCTCTCAGCTCCAGCACCACATCTGCCTGGACACCACCATGCTCCTGCCATGATGACCTCTGAACTGTAAGTGAGCCATCCCATGAAATGTTTTCTTTATAAGAGCTGCTGTGGGGGGCTGGAGAGATGGCTCAGCGGTTAAGAGCACTGACTGTTCTTCCAAAGGCCCTGAGTTCAATTCCCAGCAACCACATGAGCTCTGATGCCCTCTGCTGGCATGCAGGCAGAAGATTGTATGCATAGTAAATAAATAAAATATTGAAAAAACTTAAAAAAAAAAAGAGCTGCTGTGGCCATGGTGTCTCTTCACAGCAATTGCAACTCTAACCAAGACATTGGGGATACACAATGACACCTCGTCTCAAGAGAGCAAGAGTGAGGGGGAGAGCTAATGTGAAGGGTGCTAGGGCCCAGCACAGCGGTACACACCTTTAATCCCAGCACTTGGGAGGCAGAGGACAGGTGGACCTCTAGAATTCCAGGCCAGCTAAGGATACACAGTGAGACCCTGCCTAAAACAGATATCAAAACAGGAAGTGCTAGGTAAGGCCTCATATTTGACCCTGGGGTTACAATTTTAGCTTCTCAACACAAGCAATTCCACTTACAGTATTCCTAACAAGAAGGCCATCCTCTGGTAGTTGAGAAAATGTTTCACTTGATTATGAATATGGACTCCAGTGTCTACGCCATTATCTGGCAAGAGCAACCCAATCTCTCTAAGGATCTTTGTTCACTCTCTCACGGTCAATGCCCTTAGCTGAGGGGCTCAGATGCAGTTCCTCCCTCTGGGAAAACTATCTGGGTCTGATTTTCCCAGTTTCTGCATCAATGACAGACAATAAGACTTCTGCTTGGGCTGGGCGGTGGTGGCTCATGCCTTTAGTGCCAGAACTCTGGAGGCAGATGCAGGTGGATCTCTGTGAGTTCAAGTCCAGCTTGGTCTACAAAGCTACACAGAGAAACTCTGTCTCAAAAAACAAAAAAAAACAAAACAAAAAAAAGGATTTCTGCTCGAACTGACTTTGGACTGGTACATGTTTTCATCCTATTGGGCTGGGTGGACAAGGAGGCTGAGGTGGTGACAACCATCTTGTCACCATAAGAGAGAAGTATGTCTGATGAGCCTAAGTCAGAGGGAATAGGGTTGAGAAGACAGAAGATCTGGGTGCTGGTGATGTTATCTGAGCCCCCAGATTAAGCTGTATCTGAAACAGTGCTCTGGAATGTTGTTTTAATAGATGGGATTTCATGTGAGATTGGCCCCAGACTTGATATCCTTCTGCTTCAACTTTCTGGTGCTGGGGGTTTTTAGGCATGAACCAAGTACCAGGTCTGATACAGACTTTTGATGGCTTATTTGAGCAAGTACATTTCTAGTTTTTTTCTCCTACTATGTCAAAATTAAACTTTGTGTCATTTGTAAGGAAAACATTACATCCAAGCTGACCCTGTGGTTGTTCACAGGGTCAGACAACATGTTTAGATCATTTACTAAAATGGAAATGAAAATAGTGCTCTCTATAAAACCTGGGGGTTCTCCTAGTGACTCCTTTGTGCTAGAGCACTGACCTCTGGGAACTGAAGAGAAGATTTACCTGCATGAGCGCTCTGCACATGCTACAACAGAAGGCTTCCCACCTGGGCTCTGCAGCTGCTCTGAGCGTCTCAGTGTGACAGGCTGGACACCTGCAGTCAAAGAAGTACTGAGAACTCAGCTTCTGCTGCCTCTCAGCAACACCCATCCAGCTCTCATGAGGCCCTGGAGAGAGAAGATCACCCACAGTTACTACTCATATCAAGAGAGTCATAGCCTACAGCAGACGGGCTGGGATATACACCACGTGACTGAAATGATGGAACTGGGTTGGGGTTTTGGCTCAGTGACAGACAGTAGTGTATGTGAGGTTGGGCACTATCCTATTATCTCAAAAGAAACAACAACACATGGGTGGAAGTGGATAAGCTTCAAGCTGCTGGGGCAGGAAGAGAAAGAAGCTGAGAAGATAGGCAGTGGACAGGGAGGCAGCATTGAGAGATGCTCACTGTCCTCACTGGCCTAAGGATGCATTGCCTTTTCCAGGAAAAACACAGGGTGAGTGGAGGCACGGCTCAGTGCCTGCTCATTCCCGTCCACTTTTCCTTTTCAGGTGGTGCAGGGCAGGGCAGTGGAAAGAAAGGCTGGCTCACCATAGCAGTGCACAATCTCTTGTCCTTTTCTGATCTGCCGTGCTGCCCGGATGGTGGCCACAGTGCTATTGAAGGACACACTCGTGTTGGGGCTGCATGAGTGGTTCAGGAGGCTGACAACAGGGAAGATGCCTGTGGCAAGGCGTACCTGCCTGCTGTTGGTAATGATGTTCTCTTTAGACCCTGAAAGTGCAAGAACAGAGGAAACATACATCAGGACATCTGTCCTGTCCTTACCATCTATTCTCAGAAGATGAACTGAGCAGCTGGGCCTGAAGCCCATCTGAGTCATGGCTCCGCAGCCGGATCCAATATAAATCAGATGGAACATGACTCATAGCAAACTCTGGTCCCCAGGAAGCAAAGTGAATGAGTACACAAAAAGTCCTCTGGAACCTAACCATTATGCCTGTATGTCACTCAAAAATCCCAACATTAGAATTTATGAAAAATCATCAAAAAGGGATTATCAGCAGGGCACTTCTAGAGTTTCATAATGTTCATCCCTGAGATTATCTTCCCAAATTTTTAAAGTCTGGGTGCTTTTGTTTTACTGGTCTTTGGTTCGTTACTGGAGTAAGTGTCCTAGTTAGTGTAGCATACTTTATGTATGCCTTAATGTGTATAAAAGCCCACAGTCTTCTTCATCCTGCCCTTTGTCTAATCTTTTTGGAAACCTCTCTGCAGTCTCATGTAAGCAAACTGTCTGCATTTGTTGTACTTAAGGCAGTCTTATGTCCCAGACAAGCTCACTGCAGTACACTCAGCCAATTCACAACCTGCAGATACGGAAGGAAGAAAAAGGGCCTCTAGGCAGCGATGCTGGTCTGCATGAACTCCCACTCACGCATATGTGAGCTTTTCACACTTGTGTGTACAGCTATGGTCATGTTATGTTTCTGCTGCTATGGCAAAGTCAATTTTAAAAAAAGCAAAGGAAAGGTAAGCTGACTGATGCATGCTTGTAATCCTAGCATTTGAGAGGCTAGGACAAGACGATCAGCTTGGGCCACAAAACTGATCCTGGCCCAAACGAAACAAAACAAAACAAAATCAAAACCAAAACAAGCAGCAAAAGAGGCATTAGGGAGGTTTCCCTCCATTATTCCCTACACCCCAAAAGTTAACGGTGGTCAAGGCTTTAGCAAAAGGACCTGTGGGTTACATGTAAGATCCAAACTCTAACAGCCTACATGCTCTTCAAACAAAATGCTAATTGATTTGGTTTTAGAGTTTCTCAGGCCAAAGAAGTTCAGAAGCAGAGAACTAACATGTAAGAATATATGGTAGGGATTTCTGACAATGGCAGGTCAGAAAGATGGTGATAGAGGAGGCAGACAAAACCCCGTTCCTACACAAGTCTCGTCACACGTGGACACCTCACTTAACCAGAGGCTCCTAGAAGGACTGCATACCTACAAGGGTTTTTGTAATAGCCCAGCATAAGCCAGGAATAGGCATGATATCATATTTCCAATAAGCTGGTTGAAATGTGAAAAAACACTGATACTTAAAGGAAAACAGTCTTCTAAAAAACTGGGAAATCATTGGATAACTGTGGTGTCACTGTACATGTGCCAAAAATCTCAACTAGTTGTTTATCAGAGAAGTAACTAGTCTGGATATAAATGTAATGAACAAAGAAAACACCATGAGCCATCATGTAAAAATGTTTTACAAAGGAAAAACTAAATATGAGAATTATGTTGTTTTTCTGTAGACAATTCTATTATCTGTTGCTATGGGGGACAAGCATAGGACATGTAAATACAATTCACAGGGAATCCAAATGACTCAATTTTAGTCAATAGTTCTACAAACTGCATTAAAATCTTTCATCAGTGCTTCTCCTATGCTTAGCTGATTTGAGTCCCTCTCTGGCTTCCAATGCCTACCTTCTGGAATATGTGCTAATGAGCAGTGAAAATGCTAAAAGGTAGGCAGCAGGAAGGAGCGGTACAGGGCACGAACAATTTGTCGTCTGAATAATCAGCGTCTGCATAATTAAAAGTTGACTTGCATTCTCAACTACTGATAACTGGCAGTCTGTATTAGAACAGTTGCTAAAATTTTCTCAGAAGAAAATGATTGCACCCAGTGAGTAATGTCAGCATCGTGAATTATTTATAGATTCTCCTCCAGCAGGAGTAGGCTCAGGAACTGAGTGGGGTATTGGTGTCAGAGTTGAATGTCTCTCTAATTATTTCTAAAAAATTGAGTATTGATTTTTAAAAATTACTCAATATTTTGCATTAGTCATCTATTAGTGTAGATAATAGGAAGAGAGGGTATGTACGCACCTTATCAACCAAATTTAATGGGTGACATTTTGTATATAAAAAAATAAGTGTGAGTGATTCTCTAGCAAAAGTGAACCTTGAATTTAGAAATGTCCCTGGCACATTTCAAATGGGCTCTAAGTAAAAGAAAAACAACGAAAGACTCATTTGTACTTCTAGGACATAGCTACCCTGATAAACAGTCTGCAAAATGAGAAGTGTATGTATCAAGACCAAATGTGGAAGTACACCAAAGGGCAGTCAGCTGACTCAAGACCACACAAAGCTTCATCAAGGCTTGTTAAGACATGAATCCAGGTGCAAAACAGATATGTCCTTCCCACGGGAACAGAAGCACACAGCCCTATACCGAGAATATCATCAGTGACCAGACCTATCCCTTGAGATGGGAACAAAGAGAGGTTTTTGAGGAACTTTGATTAAAAAGAATTTATGCAAAGATAATAACATACATTTTTATAGGTTTTGTCAAAGTCTATCCTAGTTAACACTTTAATCCTTCTTCTGTGCCACTAATGAAACAGCTGCTAATGAAATTCAATGAGAACACTAAACTGGGAGGTGTTGGAACCCAAAAGAAACAATAAAAGGGATATAACGAGATTAGAACTATGAATAGACTAAAACAGAATTAGACAGTAAAAAAATGAAAGCGAACATTGCTGGTAGCATGTAACTGGTACGACTCACCTGGAGGGCAAATTTGCAGAACGTATCAAATGCCTTAAAAATGTTCCTATGGAAATATTCTTAGCACTTAGATTGTTTCTATTATAAAAAACCAATTAAAGTTACAAAAAGAATACATGGTAGTTATACCAAAGTTAGAAACGGAAAATTACAGAGACAAGGACTATCATCTAAAATCCAACCAGGCAGGTCCAATGTTTCGACGTGTTGTCTTTGCAGTGGCCCCCCTTCTAGTTCTGTGTATAGAATTATTACTGTTACTATTATTTGGACAGGATTTTGCTATGTAGTCCAAATTGGCCTTAAGCTTACCATCCTCCTGCCTCAGGCTCATGAGTGCTGAGATTGTAGGCATGGGACATCATACTTGGTATATGGAATTTTTAAAATAATTTGTGACAAGGACACATGGTGATTTGTAAGTTACTTCTTTTCACATAATATGTGATGGCCATTAAAAAAACACTCTGCCCTAAAATGCATTAAAAATGTAATTAAAAAGCAAACCAACTATCTTAGTTGGGGCTTCTATTGTTGAGATAAAACACCGTGACCAAAAGCTACCTGGGGAGAGAAGGCTTATTTCCTCTTACAACTCTCAAGTGACATGCCTTTACTGAGCAAAGTCAGGGCAGGAACTCAAGGCAGGAACCTGGAGACAGGAACTGATGTAGAAGCCATAGAGCAATGCTGCTTTCCGGTTTGCTCAGCCTGTTTTTATATACCCTTGTGATCTGTGCCCATACACATCAATCATTAATCAGACTTACCTACAGGTCAATCTTATACAGTCCTTTTCTTCCAAGACATACCTAGGTTTGCACCAAGTTAACAAAAACTGACATCAACAAAATGACTGCCAATCTCATAAGCAAAATGGCATCTTGATTTAAGTTCTGTAGAGAGGGTATAAGCTGGCCATGTTTTATCATAATTATTTGCTTGTGCGTATTTATAAAGTTTCATCAAGAGGCTGTGGGTGTAGCTCAGTTGCTAGGCAAGCACGAGGTTCTGTGTTTGATGTTTAACATTGCATATAGCCAGAACAAAACAAATATATATGGAATGCATGGTTGTGGTGATATTTTGTTTATGAGTTAATAAATAAAGCTTGCCTAAAGATCAGAGTGCAAAGTTAGCCACACTAGTTAGCCACAGAGGTCAGGCAGTGGTGATACACACCTTTGATCCCAGCATTTGTGAGACAGAGGCAGACAGATCTGTTAGTTCAAGGCCACCCTGAACTTGAAATTGATCCAGCCTACAAGAGAAACAGAGCTCACACAAAGGTGATCTTAGCACTTGGGATCCCAGGCTTTTAATACCAGCATTAGAGAGGAATACAAGGTGGGAGGAGACAGGAGCTCAGTGCAATCTGAGGTTCCGTGGATCGCCCCTTTGGTCTGAACATTGGTAGAATGAGAGCTCTCTAGTGGCCCGCTGCTTTGCTTCTCTGATCTTCAGCTTTAACCTCAATATCTGTCTCTGGATTTTTATTATTTGTGATAGTCACAAGGTAAACTCTGCTGGGCATAGTAGTGCATCCAAGCACTTGGGAAGTAGAGGCAGGAGGTGTTTGAGTTCGAGGCCTTCCTCAGATATGTAAATGAGTTTCAGTCTGGGCTATGAGGGACTCTGCCTCAAAATTTTATTTTCAGTTAAGTATTATTATTTTATGTCTATGAATGCTTTGCTTGCATGTATGCACACAGTGCCCTCGAGGCCAGAAGGAATCAGATCCCCTGGAAATGGAGTTACAGACAGTTGTCAACTGCCATGTGGGTGCTGGGAATTGAATCCAGGTCCTCTGAAAGAGAAGCCAGTGTTCCTAACCACTGAGCTATCTCTACAGCCCCCTTAAGTTAAATATTAAAAAAAAAAAGGAGCTTCTAGGGTCTGAGCACAAGCAAAATAATCAGGCATATATTACATTTTTTCTTATTACACTTATTTGTTTTATTATCTATGTGTGTAGATTTGATGGCATGGGTGTGGAGGCTGATGAACAACTCTGGGGAGTCAGTTCTCTCCTTCTACCATGGGGAACCCTGGGATCAAGCTCAGGTCATCAGGCTTGGCAGGAGCAAGATTCTTTACAAGCTGAGCCATCTCACTGGCCATTAACAGTTACTATTTTTTTTTTTTTTTTGGTTTTACGAGACAGGGTTTCTCTGTATTGTTTTGGAGGCTGTC